GTGGTATTCCTACCTTATCAGTGTCTCTGTTGTGTCCTTTACATGTCTGGGCCCAGAAAGGAATGAATTCATCCTAATATGCCATCATGCATGTAACATTGACAGTTTCTTCATCCCACATGAGCATCTTTCCTCATCCCATCCTGTCTGTTAATTTAAATATATCATGGTTTATTTGAGAGTGTTAGAGTACATTCCTTTATATACTACTACAGATAGTCTTATTCCTTTATTTTTGTCCTTTCTACAGTATGTCTCTTTTTTTAATTTGTATTTTGATTTTGGTTTTTGAGACAGGAGTTCTCTGTGTAGCCCTGGCTGTCCTAGAACTTACTCTATAGACCAGGGTGGTCCCAAACTCAGAGCCTCTGCCTCTGCTTTTTGAGTGCTGGGATTGAAGGTATGAGCCACCATTATCTGGGCATTATGTCATTTTAAATAAAATACTTTTCTTAAAAATTTTATAACATTAATTTGTGATGCATTATTTTTTGTTTTGAAATAAGGTCTCACTTTGTACCTTGGGCTGGTCTCTCACCCATAGTTTTGGGATTATGGGGATATAATATGAAGTTATAATTTTACACATAAGAGTAATTTTTATAAGTAATCTGTCTTTGCAGCTTAGGAAATCCTTGTGTACAGCCTCTCAAACTGAAACCCCGTACACACACCCAGAAACTATCCAGCATTCTTTGATATGACATGGCAAATTATTTCACTAAACACACTGCAATCTCCATCAGATTTAGTTGCTGTTCATGTCTGTATGCATTTTCTGAGCAGCACAGATAAAAGTCTCAGCCAGCTGAAAGCCTTTAATAGACTATGAAATTGGTTTTAATTGGTCATTAAACAAACAACTTTGGTATTTTGTGTTTCAGCATATAGGCATATGTAATAAAATATATATCATAAACACTAAAAAATAAAGCCATGTCCCTGCGACAAGACTGGATTCTACAGGAATTAAAGGCCTCACTATATTATTTCTGCCTTTTCCCTTCTAGTTACTCAGACCTGCTTTTCTAGACATCTCCACTTGAAATGTAGCCAAAAAAATCTGATTTTCACATAAAATGTTTTCCAATTGGCCCTAATTCCTAATTTGAGCACAGAAACATTAATTTCAGCTACCACAGTATGGTATTTTAAAATGCTCTGTGTCTCACCAAGAAGTTAAAATGTGTTACTTAATGTGTGTAAACGTGTCTAAATGTCTCCCCACGTGTGTATTGTCAGTGGCATTTACAAGCGCTTAGTTTAATGTCTTTTTTACTTCCAGACACACCTAACGGTCTCAAGCACACATCCCTGGCCTCCTATTTATCTTCTTCTCATGCCCATTCCTGAACCCCAGCCCCTTCTGTGTCTCCCAACTTAACACTGCACGCCAGCCTAGAAAGAGGGGTGTGGATGTTCCATCTCCTACAGCTGATACAAAGGTCCTCTTCCTGGTGTGCTGTGGACGCCCTGTGTGAGGGTGAGGGCCAATCAGGGCCACCTCTCTAAAGCCAAGTACTTTCTTTCCACTCCCCTTGAAAACTCAGAGGTTTGTAACTTGATCATTTGTCCTCATTTTCCCATGACAGATACTGAACATGTTACATTTCCAGATGTTTGGAAATACCTCTTAGGGAAAGCTGGTGTATCATTCTTACCCTAGCACCCAGCACACACCCTGGCTGAGATCAGAACCTCACCAGGGATGGAATCATTTCTGGATGAAAGAGAAGCCCAGAAAGTCAGAATTCACAGGTGCAGAAAAGCAGACAGCTGAGAGGAGATAATTAAGAGGGATTCCCCCACACCATGCCATCTGGGTTCTGCACAGGGGGTATAATCCCAGCATCAGCATAGGGCACAACCCACAAATCTCTGAACTTGTTCCAACCCCGCAGCCATACCCCACTTGCAAGGAGAACTGTTCAGGCACCTGGACTGGAGCCTCTGCAACTCACACTTCCACAAGTCCACAGCCTGTAGCCCCACATCTAAAATGTACCATGATGGAACCAGACTGGGAGGCACATGAGAGAGACTACCAAAGCAGAGTCAAGCCAGGTCCTGAGTCTGCAGCCTACAACTCCTGAGGACTCATGTCCCGGGACCTGGGCCAGCTGCCACTAACTGAAGCCAGGCTTGGTGCCTGTGTAATGGTGGGGTATTTGTCTGGTTCATAGTTACTGGAAGTTACCTTCTACCTGTCACTCACCACCCTCCCCCACCCCCCACTTTTCACCCCTCCACTCCACTCTATCCTAACTCCCACCCAACATCCCAGGACAATCATACTCCTTCCTACTGCCTCTCTAACCTCTGCTTTCCTGGTTCCTGCCTGTTCTGCCCAAGACTCTCTGAAACTCCTTGTTTCCAGATCCTCATGGATGGATTCAGCTCAGCAGCCACCAGAGCTGTGTCTTCTTAGGGCCTAGAAACTCTCCTGGGTATTCATTGAGGTTTTCCACTGCATCTCTGCCAATCTGGGAGCCCCCACTAACACCACACTCCCCATTAGTAGAATGGCAGCTTTGTCCCAGGTTAGGATAAATTCTGGGACACTGGAGAATCTGAAGGTGTCCAGGGACACAAATGCCTTGAGAGTAATAAACAGAATGGGAAATGACAGTTAAGCTGTGTGTCAGCTAGCCGTGTGGTGTATAACAAAACACTTGAAGCAGTTAGCTTTTTTAAAAGATGGGTTTATTTTTTAGAACATAATTGTTCTGCTGTAAATAAGTAATATATATGAAAATTACATAACATACATAATTATAGTGATTTAAATCACATTTTTTAAAAAAATGATTACTAAAACTAAATATAAAATATTCAAACTGTAATTAAGATTTTTTTTTCCCTTTACGACCCATTGAGTCTTAATTAGAGCTGCAGGTATGTGCATGGGTATAGGGCCAGACCCAAGTATGGGCAGCTCTCCTCAAGGAAACATTCCTCCTTCCGGCAGCCTGCAGCTACCAGTAGCACTCAGCAGGAGCAGGGCTTCATCAGCGTCTGCTCAGTCCAAGGTTTGGCTCACAGTTCTGAAGACTCCTGTCAAAGATCAGGTGGTCCTATATCTTTAAAACTTTGGAAAGATGGTAATTCAGGTCAGCATTTGGTGTGGATGGTGTATCTAGGAGCTAGAAAACAAAGTGGAAGAGATGGAAGTCTCACCTTCCTGTTGAAGGATATGTCCCCAGGGATTAGAGTTTCCATTAGGCTACACTACCGCTACCTGTTATCTAACCGACAACAATCTGCATAGCATCTAAGAACATGCGCACTGTTTTTTCTTTTCTTCAAAATTAAGTGAAAAAACAAGCCACACACTGGATGATATTGCCACACCTGATAGAAGCCTAGTGTTCAGAATACACCGTGTAAATGAGCAAATACGCAAAGATCAACAGTCTGGATGAAGAAAGAACACACACACAGGCTCTTCAGAGGAGGAAACAAATGCACAGGTCATGTAACCAGATGGCCAGTCCACTTAAGAATGAATAAAAGGCAGATTAAGGCCACAGTCTAAGCTATCTACTTGACAAAACCTCTAAAACTGTGACAATAGGAACTGTCATTAAAGATGGGTTAAGGATCCTAATGTTGTAAAGCCAGTATCCTAGATTTGATCAATTTCAATTTGTTACTTATTTGAGATTGTCATTATTTTAAAGACAATAACAAACAAAAGATTTCTAGAGACCCAGTACTATCCCTTGTAAAATTTATCTGGTAGGTCTATTTTAAAATTAATAAGAGGGAAGGTTGTGATTCTTAATGACTTTTATGAGCATACAGGCATAAAAAGAAGAGTGATTTCCCTTAAAGTCTGGGTAGCCTGAATTCCTTTTGAATGCAGTTCTGTGGCACCATCTCTCCACACCATGCCCCCCTCTGCCACTCCAGGTACTTTGATGGAGAAGGGTGAAGGCACCAGAAGAGCCCACCCACACTCCTCTCTGAACCTTGACAACCTGGCAAAGCTCTGGCCAGAGAACAGCATAAATGACACCACGCCTGGTGGACTGATGTCATAAAGGGCTCCATGGTCTCAAGCTCCTCACTGCAGACACTATCTCCTCAAGCTCTGGGCCTCCATGAAGGATGCTCGTGCCCTCTGATGCTGTGAAGAGGCCCGAGTCACAGGGAGAGACCACAGGTTAGGGTGTCATGACCATTCCAATTTAGCCACCCTGAAGTTCCTCAACTCTAGTGCCACAGGGGACAGTGAAGAAGCTTCCAGACAATTCCAGTCTTTCCTAGTACTGGGGTTTTCCCAGGTTCCCTTTCCAGGGGGCCCTCCCCACTCCACCTTAACTGAGGATCTGACTCATTTAACCTGAGATCACAATAAAATGGTTGTGTTAAGTCATCGAGGTTGGGCAGCCTGTGGATAAATGAACTACTCCCACCCACAGGGGACCCTGACAGCCATACACATCTCTTTCTGAAGTCAGACATTGCCTCCTGTTTTTATGACCCACATTTAGCCCCCCTACTTTCCACACACCCGCCCCTTGGTGCCTTGACCTCTTCACCCACAGTAACTGGTGAGCTCAGTCACCTTTTCAGTTAACAAAATTTATTGAGATGGCCCCTAAGGATGCCCTGTGAGGGGCTGTGATGTGTAAAAGGAGTTCTCATCTGAGACTGCTGCAACGGTCTTGTGACTCTCTTGGTACTGTCAGCATGAAGGCATTGAGCACAGGAGCAGGTCACAAAGTCACCATGTCAACCTTCCTGTCCATCATAACCCTACAGTGTTTTGTCCCAAGGTGGGGGAAGGACTCCTCAGGTAGTTGGTGGAAGGACACCCCAGAGCAGCTGCCTACCTAGTCTCTGTGCTCTGAGTATACCAGGTGGAGTGCTACCTGGTGGTAGGTTAGAGGCAGTGATCCTTACCCCTAAGTTCAGGCAGAGGTGGTGCAGGAAGATTCCATGTGACCTTCCACAGCATCCCAAGAGCTAGCAAAGTCCCAGGGACAGTCAAGAACATGACAAGCCACAGTCCCTACATGCCTTGCTCGGCACTTTTTCTGCTCCTGCTCCTGTTGCTTCCTCCCACTTTTAAAGGTGGGAGCCTCCGATACCATGGTCCTGGCTGGAAACTATTCCACCGCCTGAGCCAGGGTTTCAGAAGTCCCCACCATCGCCAGATGGAACAAATGAGACAAAACGTGCCCCAGGGTCAATCAGAAGATAATTGTCAGGGTGCTGTCGACCTCTACCTCATCCTGGACAAGTGAGTTGCTTTCCTGCACTGTCTCTAGATAGCCCTTGGGCGTCAGTGGTAGGTCATATTCAGCAGCAGGCAAAGTCATTGTGATCAGATTTCAGGAAATAGGCTTCCATCAATGACTTACTTCCTGAATGCAGGGACAGCAACTGGCCTTCCGAATGGCTCTGGCCCCATTGCCTTGACTCTGATCTGGCCATCTTGGCCCTCAGGCCCAGGGTCTACTGGGAAGTACCTTTTCACTCATGTGAACCACCCACAGGATGACTCTGCAGAGGTCACCCCTAACACTGTGGGCACTCTTTCAGTCTTGCTGTCCAGAGCAGCTTTTGTTTATAGCCATAACGGTTCAGCTTCTCTCTCCTAACTCAAGAAGAATCCTAGGAAGATCCTGTTTTTCTTCCATGTGGTAGGCAAGCTGGCCTGGCCTGTAGACCCTTCTTAGCTGTCAAGGGACGGAATGGGGACTGGACCTGAACCTCAGAGGGCCTTAGAGCTTCTGCACTGTCCCATCTAAGTAGCTAATTTCTTGGCTTACAGAAATGTGTAGTGTGCTCTAAATTTCTATAAACTGGAGATCACATTCACACTGATCTGACTTTAGCCATTTGACTTGTCTGCATTTTTCTCTTTTTTTTTTTTTTGTTTGTTTGTTTGTTTCGAGACAGGGTTTCTCTGTGTAGCTCTGGCTGTCCTGGAACTCACTCTGTAGACCAGGCTAGCCTCAAACTCTCAAACTCAGAAATCTGCCTGCCTCTGCCTCCCAAGTTCTGGGATTAAAGGCGTGTGCCACCACCGCCCGGCTCTCTTTTATTTTCATTTATGTACGACATGTACTTTTTATCATTTCATTGCTAGTTACTTCCAACCCCTATTAATCCCATTCTCAGTTAATCTCCTTTTCCAATTTCACGTCAGTTTGTTTCATAATGACCCAGTGAGTCCTTCTTGGGACCTCATAGTCCCAGTAGATAAACTGTTTAGCTACTTTCAGTTCACTACTGGCCCTGAGGAAACTTACCTCTCCTGATGATCCACCATGGTCTGCAGCAGTAACAAGGTTGCTAAAAATCCTGATAAAAGACTAGAGAGGCTGATACTACCCCTCCCTGCCTGACAAAGCTGTGTCATACCTTGACATTTCTCTCCTTTGTCTTCAGATCGGGCAGTGTGGCAGACAACTGGATCTACATCTATTCATTTGCAGAGGGTTTGGTGAAGAAATTCACAAAGTATGGCTTCTTCTGACTGTAGTCTCCTCTGGGCTTCTAGGGAGTATCCCTCTGACAGACAGAGAACCTGTCTCAGATTTGATGGGCATGAGATTTCCTCATAGAGAGAGCATAGACCCAGACTGGTGTGCTAACAGAGTGGGGGACACAGTGTGGTGATGGACACTTAGTACAGGATGTTCAGGACCAGAGGAGTGAAAATGCAAAAACTCACAGAGAAAAGTTTCAGGGTCTTAGAGAAAGCATAATGTGAACTGAGTCCTCAAGTCTAGAAAGTAAATGGGGCCGGGTGTAACATTACTGCAACCACAATTCTTATCAGACATAACTTAAGAGAGGTATCCATGGCTCACAGGTTCAGAGGGTTTCAGTCCATCTTTCACAGGCCTGGCAAGAGAAGCATGTGGTCAAGGCTATTCACACCATGGTACACTAAGAAGAAAGTGAACAGCAGGGACAGGGACCAAGCTACAACTATGAATGGGTCTGCACTTGACAATCTACAAGTAGCTAAATACCATCTAAACATTCTACGGCCACATAAAAGAGTGTCACCAGATGGAGAACAAATGCCCAAAGCATGAGACTGTGAGGGATGTCTCCAATTCAAACTATAACAGTTAACTCCTGTGAATGGGTGATCCCTTAGACTAGGGAGTCAAGGTGACTCAGGAAAGGCTAGAGGAAGACCATGGGTGGGATGGGAACAAAGCCATAGTAGACCTCATGCTAAGCCAAGGGGATCTGATTTCCTACTTTGAGCCATAGTGATAGAGGGAAAGGGGAGGAGTGTATAAGAAGAGCTTCTCAGAGAGAGAGAGAGAGAGAGAGAGAGAGAGAGAGAGAGAGAGAGAGA